TGATTCCTACAGGGACGCGGTGGGAGGACAAGGGAAGCTATTCTCTGCTGCCATAGTCTTGCCAGCGAGGGGCATCTCAGCATGAATTCTGAGAACAGCCTGGTAGGGTTGCTGGCAAGGCAAAGAAAGCTGAAATCGTGACTAGAGGCACCGTGGCACTAGGCCGTCTGGATGTGTTCCCATGTTCCCCTTCACTGCTAGGGCCTGAGGAGTGGAACAAAGTGAATCAGTGGGAGAGGCCGGTGTCTAGAGGTCGAGTTCATCCCTCAGGCGCCTGACTCACCGCACAGGTTCCCGCAGAGGGTGATTAATTGTCTGCTCCTTCGAGATGTGCAGTACCTGGACAGGAGAGAGAGAGACAGAGAGAGAGAGAGAGAGAGAGAGAGGGAGGGAGAGAGAGAGAGAGAGAAAGAGAGAGAGAGGAGTCCTTGCAGCTACTAAAAACATCAGAGCCAGGTCCCTAATGTGCACTACACTCCCGGCCAAAAAGAAGCCGTTCACCTGGGTCAGAAAAACCCTGCCATCTTAGCACCGCTTGGAGTCTGTGTCATGATCAAGGCTACTACAACCTGGCTTTGTGAGAAGATCTGATATACCCCAGATTTTCCTTTAAAATTCACTGTTTACTTGAATTGATTACAAAATAATTTCTTTCTATGAATCATTTGGGTTTTGGGGTTTTTTTCTTGTTGTTGTTGTTTTGTTTTGTTTTTGTTTGTTTTTGGACCATCTCTGCCATCCTCAAGAATCAAACTCCTGATTCTGCCCTTTGGGATCACTCCTACTAGGCCTCTGGGACTGTGTGTGGAACTGGGCATTTAACCTGGTTGGCCACATGAAAGGCAAGTGCCATACCTGCTCTACTGTCACTCTGACCCCATTTCTACGAGTGATTTCTTTCTTTTGTTTTGAGGCCACATCTAGAGATGCTCAGGGGTTACTCCTGGCTGTGAATTAGGGCACAACTCCTGGCAGTGCCCAGGAGACTATCTGGGATGCCCAGGATTGAATCCGGGTCAGCCGTGTGCAAAGCAAGCACCCTAACCAGTGTACTATCACTCTGGCCCCCTCTGCAAGTGATTTGAAATGCAATGCTGAGCTGAGGTAGAAGAATACTTAAAGAAGAGCACACATGGAGCTACAAGCTATTATTTCTAGAGGATATCTACCATAAATATGTTCAGAGGCTCCGGGAGTGTTTGGGTTAGTGTAGGCCGGATGGTTCAATACTACAGCCAAAGTCTGTGGCACTGCAGAGGCTCTGGCAACAGGCAGGCAACCCCCAGCAGACTCAGGAGGCTGTAAGAAAAATTGAAGTGGGTCTCACATTTGCAAATCATGTGCCTTGACTCCTGCACTATCCCTCTGCCCCCAAGAAAGTGTTCTTTTGTTTGTTTGTTTGTTTTGCTTTTTGGGTCACACCCAGTGATGCTCAGGGGTTACTCCTGTATCTGCACTCAGGAATTACTCCTGGTGGTGCATGGGGGACCATATGGGATGCTGGGAATCAAGCTCGGGTGGGCCGCGTGCAAAGCAAATGTCCTACCCGCTGTGCTATTGCTTTAGCCCCAAAATTAAACATAGAAACATTTCTATTTTATACTGGTCATGTGCCATATAGCATATCAGATTCGAAAGGACAAAAAAAAGCAAAGGATTTTATCCTTGTCTCAAAGAAACTTTTTGTGTTCTTACACACTCTTTGGTTTACATATCTATGGCTCATGTGGGCCTTGGCAGAACTCAGTGGACTTGGGTGAGTTTGAGTCTAAGCTGGAGATTGGAGTCAGTTCTGTCTGCACCCAGGGTAGCTCATCATTTTAAGATTAATGGAGCAGGCCAGGCATTTTCTTCTCAACACAACAACAGGCAGCAAGCCTGACCACATGGCTGGCTTCAATCACAACACAACCCCGAGTATCCATGGTCCAAGTAAGACACGTGGCCAGACACAATATTCTAAGTTAAGGAAATATATTCTACCCAGAGAAACTATGGTGGTGATAAAGGAATACATATTGAGGAAAATAATGCAACCAAGGTTTAAAAGAAGCAAACACACAAATGCCTGTATAATAACAGGAGTGGGGACTTAGAAAGGCAAGGGACAACTTAAATCTCAAAGACACCAGAACGTTGACCTTGGAGCAGGTGGCAATTGCACTGAGTCACAGAGGTGGTAGTGGTTCAAGAGAAAGATGGAGTAGATCATAGCCAATACTTCAGAGGTGTGGTAGGAACAGAGCTGTAGACATTTGAAGGAAATTTCCATTGCTGGGTTTTAAAGAAGTAAATAGAAAGAAACAAACCTGATCACAGTATAAAAAGCATGTCACGAAGAAAAAACTACAAATAGATACTCGGCAGAAATGTCCGGTGACAGAAGTTCTTGTGCCGCATATGATTGCTGACAGTTCTTTGAAAAGACAAGTAGGTGAACATCCCCATGGAAGGAAGTGTGGAAAGTCACACAAGGATAGGACTTTTATTTAAGTCCTTTGAGCTATACTTAGAGATGGATTTAACTTAGAAATCATCCCCCAACTCACTGATTTCACAGTTGAATACATTTGCTTTTGGAGCTAAATACTCCCTTTGTCTTTTTCTCTTTGTAGACATCCATGCACCACTTAACCGTGGGGGTGCTTTCTGATCAGTTTGCCATAAGACCATTTAATTGTGCAATTAAATGTCATAGAATGTGCCTACACAAATGTAGATGGTACACTGGGATGCACACAGACGCTGTAGATAGTGACCACCAACTTATCCAGTATGTTATACATGACTGATCTGAGTATATACTGTATTTGCATACGTACCATAATTTTAGCCTAACTGGCTAGTATGGCTGAGAAATAGATACATATGTATTCATGCCCATATACACATTTCTATTTCCATGTGTAAGATGCATAAACATAGAGAATGTCTTACTAACTAAATCTGTATAAATGAATATTTATAAAAAAACACAGAAATACAGAAAACAAACCTATAAAGATAGAGGTGGAGCGTATTAAAATGGGCAAATTTCATAAACTGGTTTTCTAAAGAATTCATAATCACGCATAGACTCCAGGACCTCTTGTTCCTCATTGGAAGATCTGTTTCCAAGCAGAAGGACATAAATTAATCAACTGTAAAGGGAAGTGTTGTTAATAAGGAGAAAAACAAGTACTGTCACAGATACTCAAGCCCTGGAAATACCACCCTCAAGTACTGGGTCTAAGAGCAGAAGCAAAGTGACTTCTTGGACCCCAGTGTCTCGGGTACTGTTACTAAAAAGATGGGGTCTGGATGCTGGGGTGTAGAGAAGTGTATAAAAGGTCAGTGTGTGCTCTCTCTCTCTCGACCTCTCTCTCTCACCCCCTCTTTCTCATCACCAGTCTTCCTTTCTGCGGAAATTATTCCCCTCACTTGCAAAGGAAGTGATCATCCGCCTAAACAAAATACAATTAGAAAAGTACATCAGCTCCGTTCATAATATATATAGTTCCTTCCCAGAATAGAAATAATGAAACTTTGAAGTTGTATCCTTTAATCACAGCTAATGTAGGTCAGAAGTCGGCAAACTCTGCCCCCAGGGCCAAATCCAGCTGGCCTGACTTTAGAAAATAAGTCGTTTGCACACAGCCAACACCTGTTCATTTATGCCTCGTTTCTAGAAGCTTATGCACTACAATGGCAGTATTGAGTCACCGCAGCAGAGACCATATTGCTCACAGCTCCCCAAAACGTTCACAGTCAAAGCCCTTTTCACAAGTGTGCCCGGGCATGGTGTGCACAGTGAGAATGGGGAGCTTCCCAGAGTGGGTGCAGTTGGTAAGGGCTTCTGTTTCCGCTTATGGTTGCAAGATTGCACCTGGCAGTGAATAGATACGAAAGCAAGATAACAGGGGAACTGACACATAGCCATTAAGTTGGGGATGGGGAAGGGGAAGAAGGAGTGGGGGCCACCCTTGGGGAAGAGGGATGGATACACTGGTAATGGGTGTGGTGTTGGACTCATGTCCTCCAGGAACCATAATTATTTTTAACTTTGTACCCTTTTTAAAAAACTTTTTATTGAATCACTGTGAGACAGACCCTTCCTCACAAAGCTGTTCATGATTGAATTTCATGTATACAGTATTCCAACACCCATCCCTCCACCAGAAACCATGATTAATAATGTTCTTTATATATATATTATTTCATAACATAATTCACAATATTTTGTTACATTTAATATTCAGACCAATCACACCACCATTAGACCTTCTCACCACCATATTTAGGATGTTTCCATCCCGAACCCCAATCCCTGCCCCAAAGCAGAGCGGGAATAATGCTACAAGTATCCTTAGAGGAAAGAGTGTGGAGATTGTTGTATTTCACTCAGGGGCCGTTAAGCTCTTCTAAAAGAGATCACTAACATGTTGTTAAAGGTTGAGCCGTGTGTGTGTGTGTGTGTGTGTGTGTGTGTGTGTGTGTGTGTAAAAAGTATTCTTGGGGCTGGAGCCATAGCACAGTGAGTAGGACATTTGCCTTTGCTTTGCATGCAGTCAACCCGGTTTGATTCCCAGCATCCCATATGGTCCCGTGAGCACCGTCAAGAGTAATTCCTGAGGGGCTGGAACAATAGCATAGCGGATAGGGCATTTGCCTTGCATGCGGCTGACCCGGGTTTGATTCCCAGCATCCCAGCATCGGTCCCCCGAGCACCACCAGGAGTAATTCTTGAGTACAGAACCAGGAGTAACCCCTGTGCATTGCTGGGTTTGACCCCAAAAAAGCAAAAATAAATAAATAAAAGTAATTCCTGAGTGCAGAGCCAGGTGTGACCCGAATAGCAAAAAGGAAAAGATCCAAAAATATATATATATATGCATTCTTAAGCCAAAAAAACGTTTAAAGGCTTGCACCCGGGTCGCCGGGAGGGCGGGCAGGGGCGGATCCCTCGGGGGACTCGGCGCTCGGGTGCTCCCTTAACCCGCTCTGCGTCTGTCCTCCGCCAGATTCCGACCTGAGCATGCGCACCCTGAGCACGCCCAGCCCGGCGCTCATCTGTCCGCCCAGCCTGCCCGGCCTTCAGAACGGAAGGGGCTCGTCCACGTCCTCGTCGTCCGTCACGGGCGAGACGGTGGCCCTGGTCCACGCGCCGCCGCCCGCGCGCCTGGCGCACCCGCTCGTCCGCCTGGCAGCGCGGCCGCCGAAGGGGCAGGCGAGCGTCGAGCGGCTGCCGGACGCGGCCCTGGTCCACGTCCTCTCCTTCCTGCCCACCAACCAGCTGTGCCGCTGCGCGCGCGTGTGCCGCCGCTGGTACAACCTGGCCTGGGACCCGCGCCTCTGGAGGACGATCCGCCTGACGGGCGAGACCATCAACGTGGACCGCGCGCTCAGGGTGCTCACCCGCAGGCTCTGCCAGGACACCCCCAACGTCTGCCTCATGCTGGAGACGGTCATCGTCAGCGGCTGCCGGCGGCTCACGGACCGCGGGCTCTACACCATTGCCCAGTGCTGCCCCGAGCTCCGGCGCCTGGAGGTGTCCGGCTGCTACAACATCTCCAACGAGGCCGTCTTCGACGTGGTATCCCTCTGCCCCAACCTGGAGCACCTGGACGTCTCAGGTAAAGGCCGGCTCTGCTGGGCAGCCGGCCCCGGAGAGGGCGCAAGGGCGTTGGGTTGGAGGATGCTCTTGCAGAGGAACGGTCTCCGGGTCTGGAGAGTACCGCCCGCCCCCTTGCATCTCCCCCATCAGCATCCCCCTCATCAGCTGACCTTGTGTGTCTGGCAGTGCACCGTAAAGTGACCTTGCAGTGTCTTTTCTTGCCAAGCTCTACCGCCCACCCCCTTGCATCTCCCTCATCAGCATCCCCCTCATCAGCTGACCTTGTGTGTCTGGCAGTGCACCGTAAAGTGACCTTGCAGTGTCTTTTCTTGCCAAGCTCCTCCCCACCCCCTCACCGGAATACACAGTGAGTCCAGATAAGGAGAGCCACTATCTCCTCAGTGGGAAATCCAGGGCAAGCATCGCTGGTGCTCAGACACAGCTAGTTGGGAAACAATGCCCTAAGCATCCCGCCCAGGTTGCATCTGAGAACTGAGTGGAAGGTTCCTCTGTTGCCGTGGGCTGCTCTCGACTGTCCTTTGTAGACGTTGAGGAAAAGCTGTGGGACCAAGGGTCTCATCTGTCAGTCTCATTCTTCCCTAGCCCTGGGTTGGTTCTGTGTCTTTCCTGAAGGCTAAATTCTCAGCCACATGGTTTCAAGGGGTAAGGGTGCACCAGTGGACCAATTCTTTTAAACTTTAAAGGAAATGTTTGGCTTGACACCCTCCCTGAGGCAGGAAGAATTAAAGTGCAGGCTCTCTTCGGCATTAGCCTTGGATCCAACCAGACTAACAGCCTGTCTTTATCTCCTGCTCTGTGGAACCTTGGAGGGGCTGACATGTGTGGAGATGCATCAGGGAATTCATGAAATGAACAGCATGAGCCACAGCTTCAGTGGGGCGGGGGGGTGGAGTGTCAGTGGAAGGGGTTGGGAAGTAAAAAATATAATTAAATAACTGTGATGGGTGCATACATAGAATTTACGGTTTACAAGCATCTAAGGTAAATGATACTCTGCCCCCCCACTCTTCTCCCCCCCTTTTTTGAGGTAAACGCCAAATCTCTCAGCTTGCTCTCACTTTTGAAAGCCGACATCTGAAAATATTTCAGATGACAGTCAATTATTTTTCACAGATCCTTTCCCTGGATGGAAAGCAGCTTCTTGCTCCCCTCCCCTGCCTGGCTTCAGGACAAAACCGTAGTTACCGTCTGTTCAGTGAGTCAGAAGCTGCCCCTGGCACCAACAAGCAGGAAGCTAAGAGGTTTTCTTATGTTTTTTTTTATCCTCCAAGGAATTCTGGAAAAGAAAGCATTGTGCTATGGTAGAACTAGCTTCCAAACTTTGTTTGGGATTTGGGACGATTCGCAGCTTTCTCTAGCGATGTTTCCTCTTCAGTTGAAGAGAGGAGCAAGGAAGAAGCTTCTTCAGCACTGTGATCTTTTGTAAACTTCCTCACTCAGACTTAAAAACAATTCCTTTGTTAGCCTTCCCCTATCTTTATTAATGGGGTTTCAGCCTTTTGCTGTTGATTTGTTTTTTGTTTTGTTGTTTTGTTTTGTCTGGGGGGCCATACCTGGCTGTGCTACACGGCTCACTCCTGGCTCTTCATTCAGGGATCACTGTTCATGGTGCTTGGGGGAATCCTATGGGTTACCGTGAATCAAAGCCGGGTCCGCCACCTATAAAGCTAACACTTTCCCTTCTGTACTATCTCTCTGGCCCCTGAACAGCACACTCTAAACACCAGATCCAGTAATGCTGCCCTCTCTTTGGAAATGCAGGAATGCAGAAACTTCATGAACTAGTTGAGAACAGAACCTGATGGGCTTCTAACCCGTATTTGAATCCTGCATGGTCCTATTGACTCATCATAGTTAAGCCTTGAAGTACTTTCTTTTTCAAAATCTAGTTTGCAGGTCCTACTGGATTTCTTTAGTTTTCCCACACATCCCTGAAAATCCTCCTGGAATCTGTTTGCATGCAGAATAAACAGTGGGAATCTGGGTCTTCCTAAATTGAGAGCTCTGCATTCCAGAAAGGAAGGGATTTTTCAGAAGATGAATTTTTCAGAAGATGAAGTTGAAGAACCCACCATAGCACAAGGATGGATCTGAGCTCCCTAGATCTGAGGGCTAATTCAGAGACACCAGAAGGCTACGAAAGTGATTTCATAAGATGTATTCTCCCGGGTGTTTATAGCAGCCCCTGACAGTGGACACCCTCGCAATAACAGTAAACTTGATTATGAAACACCCCATGGCTTCTCTAAAACTTATTTCCCCAGAAGACATGAGACTACCTCTTACATCACTAGTAATGTATAAAAGGTGTCTGTTAGTATGCATACATATATTATATATTGTAATGCACATTAGTAAACCAGTATGTTCAAAAGCTTAGAAAGCTCAAAGGAAGCTGGTAGAGCTGGTAGTGTGCTTTAATCCAAGTTCAAAGATTTAAGAACCAGGATTACTGGTATCATAATTCTTAGAAGGCAGGAGAAGACCAGTTGTTCAAAACAAAAGTCAGTAAAAGAGAGGGTGGTCTGAGAGAGGTGGTTTCTTCAACTTTTATTCTACCAGGGCCACTGCAGACTGGGTGTGACCCACCCACATTGGGGAGGACAGTCTTCTATACTGAGTCCACCAATTCAAATGTAATCTTATCAGAACATTCTCATAAATACACCTAGAAAACTGTGTTTAGTAAAATATTTGGGACCTGGGTCATCCAGTTAAGTTGACTTCAAAGATTAACCATCACAGTTTATGTTATCTCTAGACAGCAGTGGATTGCTTTGAAACTAATTTCCAGTAGACTGAAAGTCATAATGATGTCTGATGAAGTTGCTGTAGAATCCTCTCCTTCTTTCTGGTCCTTAAATTATATAATCTACGTGGTGGTTTTGCACTCTAGTATCATGAGTCTGTTGTCTCTTTTCTACCTGTCTTCCAGGAAACATATTTCACTAATTAATCTCTTTAAACCCATCTCAACCCCACATTCTATCCTGCACACATCCAATTTCCAGACGGATATTTTTCCAATGACAAGTTTAACCATTTTCTGCCATAAAATCTCCAACTGGTCCCCCTCGACTTAAAGGACAAATTCAAGTTCCTCACTAGAGTTTACTATTGTTTGTCCAGGGTCCAAATATTCACTTCATTGCAAATACATCCACCAAAAGTCTCCCATGAAATTTGTTAATTGCATATTTCATCTTAGTAATTTTTTACCATTCCTCATAAAATTGGAAGTTTTTTTTACCATTCCTCCTAAAATTAAAAACTTGAACCAAGAGTCAAAAAACTTCCCCCAGAATCTGACTCTAATAGTCATGTAATCTTACTGAGCTAGAGAAGCACATTTTTAAAGCAAATATTAAATTGGGTTATTTTTAAAACTCTTTCTATTATCTTTACTGTATGAATGTATGGACTAAACACATATAGTATCTACTGAGTAATGGACTGATTTCTTTTCTTTTTAACCTAAATTTCGTTTGTAAGGGATATGGCTAAAGCTTAAGTTAAATGGATAAAGAAAATGTGATATTTGCATATGTGAAAATGAAATATCACATAGCCACAAAAAAGGGATATCTTGCTCTCCCTAGCAACAGTGATGGGATTCGAGGGCTTTATGCTAGTGAACAAGTCAGAAGAACACAAGTATCAGAAGATTTCACCTATACGTGGAATCTAAAAATCAAAAGCAAAACCAAACCGTCTCCCTTTTGACTCTGTGCTCAGTGATCACTCCTGGTGGTGCTCACAGGACCATGTATGGTGCCAGGGATCACACTTAGACCAGCTGTATGCTAGGCAGGAACTCTGCCCACTGTACTATCTCTATGGCTTACCTTAAAATATCTACAGATGCAACTATAAGTTTGTGGTTGTCCTGGGAAGGCAGGGAATGCAGTAGGACTTTAAGTAAAGGTAATAAAAAGACACAAATACCAGTTATGAAGTAACTCATTCAGATGGAAAACTCTCTATGGAACTACAGTTAATACTGTGTTGCGAATTTCAAAATTGCTGAGACGTGGCTCTTTAAAGTTCTAATCAGGGGGATTAGAGTGATAGTACAATAGACTGGGCAGGACTGTGCAAATATACATGTAGGTATTTAATATATACTCATGATGCCCATGTATGACTGGACAGATAGCAGTGGAGGTCAGTCAGTTACTATGCATGTTGCCTTCCCTGGTCAACTTCCTAGCACTATATCCAGATATGGTGCCCTGAGCATCGCCCTGGGTCATTCTAAGCACAGAGCTAGGAATCACCCCAAACACTGCTGAGCATGACCCAAAATCCAAACAAAAAATATAATATGCATTCTAATTTTTCACATCAAAACATATACAATACATACGTATTATATAGGAATATATAGGGCTGGAGCGATAGCACAGCAGGTAGGGTGTTTGCCTTGCATGCAACCGACCTGGGTTCAATTCTTCCATCCCTCTCAGAGATCCTGGCAAGCTACCAAGAGTATCCTGCCCGCACAGCAAAGCCTGGCAAGCTACCCGTGGCATATTCAATATGCCAAAAACAGAAACAACAAGTTTCACAATGGAGATGTTACTGGTGCCCGCTCGAAAAAATCAATGAACAACGGGAGCACAGTGCTACAGGAATATCTAATGCCCTTAAATGTACAACAAATGAGACCTTTGTATAATATATAAATATATTACACATATTTATATATGTAATTTATGCTCATATATTCTTAGGACATCAAAAGTTAGAAACAGTGTATAGTGAGCCTTCTAAAGTTATCTCCTGCAATATTATTTTCCTTGTCTGTAAGATAGTTTCAACAGTCAGATTTAAAAAATTGTTTACAAAAGCACCTTGTAAGCTTTATAATTCAATCCCAAATCCATCTAAGGGCCAGACAGCGGGGAGGATGTTTGTCTTGCACACTGCTGAACTGGGTTCTATCCACAGCTCCCCATATGGTCCCCCAGGCACCACCAGGAGTAATTCCTGGGTGCAGAGCCAAGAGTAGTAACCTCTGAGCATTGCTGGGTATGGGTGGTCCAAAACAAACAATACAAAATGCATCTAGAAAAGAGACAACCATTTTCAACATATATATGCCAGTCGGGGTCCAGAAGCCATATAAAGGTTGGAAGTTGGATTATTCCAACTGGTGTTTTGATAATCTTCTTTCCTCTCCCAGCCATTCAGCCACTTATCATTCAACAGCAACTCAAGTAAGCCCGGCTATGAAATTGGTGTGAGCGAGAGAGCAGGGACCGACCAAGTCCCTTATCTCAGGTACTAAAGTTCCATTCCAGAGCGAGAGCAGGGAACCCAGAATGAACAAATGAATGCAGAATGTTATGAGGTGACAGAGCACTGACAGAAGCAAGGAGCCACTAGTGAATGCCGTGGGCTGAGGAAGGAAGAACGGTGCATCCCCCATTTCCAGACATGGGAGCTAGTTGGAAAGACTGATCTTCCCCAAACCAGACCACTGGTGATGGAAACGGAAGAAGAGTCAGCGTCTGCTGGGTCGTGTCACCAGAAACTCCCATCCAGCAGGATAACCAGCATTCCTGTGACCCAGCGACCACGGAGAATCATTCATTGTTTTATCATTTATTCTCTTTTTCTTTTTGCTTTGTAGTTTTTAGGTTATGCATTCTATTTTAGGCATAAGCATTTTTCCTTTTTTTTTTAGTTTTATTTATGTACTTTTATTGAATCACCATGAGATAGTTACAAAGCTTTCATGATTGAGTTTCAGTCATATAGTATTCAAACACTCATTGTTCCACCAGTCTACATTTAACAACACCAACGTCCCCAGTATCCCTCCCACCACCCCTACTCCACCCCACCCCCCACCTCCGCCCCTGATTTCTATGACAGGCACTTTCCTTCTTACTTCCTATCAACTTTTGGGTATCATGGTTTGCAATACAGATACTGAGAGATCATCGTGTTTGGTCCTTTGTCTGCTTTCAGCACACATCTCCCATCCTGAGCCCTCTCTCCATCCGTCACTGACTTAGTGGTCCCTCCTGCATCCCAAAGACCTTCTTACCCAGCACATGAGGCAGACTTCCAACCTTGGACCAATCCTGCTGGCCCTTATCTCGACTGTCCTTGGGTATTAGTATACTGTCACGGTCCTCCCGTTGTCCATCGATTTGCTCGAGCGGGCCCAGTAACGTCTCCATTGGAGACTTTGTTGTTACTGTGTTTGGCATATCGAACACATCACCACATCACGGGGAGCTTGCCAGGCCCTGCCGTGGGGGCAAGATAAATGAGTGCAGTCTTTATGTCTGGCCCTCTCCTTCCAACTCATCTCACTTAGCATGGTAGGGAAGAACCATTCTTGATTCTCTGTAGGAGCCCGGAGGGATGGGTGGCGTCAGGGACCAGGGCGCACCCCGCCCAGGCCACCCCTTTGCCGGGAGGTGCCTCTGACCGTGTGTTGCGTGTCTCTCTGCCCAGGCTGCTCCAAAGTGACCTGCATCAGCTTGACCCGGGAGGCGTCCATCAAGCTGTCCCCCTTGCACGGTAAACAGATCTCCATCCGCTACCTGGACATGACGGACTGCTTCGTGCTGGAGGACGAGGGGCTGCACACCATCGCGGCGCACTGCACGCAGCTCACGCACCTGTACCTGCGGCGCTGCGTGCGGCTCACGGACGAGGGCCTGCGCTACCTGATGATCTACTGCCCGTCCATCAAGGAGCTGAGCGTCAGCGACTGCCGCTTCGTCAGCGACTTCGGCCTGCGCGAGGTCGCCAAGCTGGAGTCCCGCCTGCGCTATCTCAGCATCGCGCACTGCGGCCGGGTCACCGACGTGGGCATCCGCTACGTGGCCAAGTACTGCAGCAAGCTGCGCTACCTCAACGCCAGGGGCTGCGAGGGCCTCACGGACCACGGCGTGGAGTACCTGGCCAAGAACTGCCCGAAGCTCAAGTCGCTGGACATCGGCAAGTGCCCCCTGGTCTCCGACACCGGCCTGGAGTGCCTGGCCCTGAACTGCTTCAACCTCAAGCGGCTCAGCCTCAAGGCCTGCGAGAGCATCACCGGCCAGGGCCTGCAGATCGTGGCCGCCAACTGCTTCGACCTGCAGATGCTCAACGTGCAGGACTGCGAGGTGTCGGTGGACGCGCTGCGCTTCGTGAAACGCCACTGCAAACGCTGCGTCATCGAGCACTCCAACCCGGCCTTCTTCTGAAGGGGCCCCTGCGAGCACGTCTGTCGGGTCTTTGCGGTTGTTCGTTTGGGTCTTTTGGTTTTGTTTCTGTTGTTTGTTTTTCTTGGGTTTTATTTTTTTTTTTTTTGAAGCAGCTGGTGTAAGCGCACCGACACCCACCACCCACTCGCATCGGCTCCTTTCTTTCAGGAAGGTTCTTAGGAATCTGGCTTTAGTCTTTTCTGGATTTTTTATGGGCAACAGAGGTCAAGGGAAGGAAGGGGGAGGGGGATGATTTGCAATTATTTTGCAAATCATTTGCAATTGCTCTTTTTTTTTTTCTTTAATCGTTTGTAGACAGTTTCTCTCCTCACCCGAGACGCATCTCAGCAGACAGTGTTTGCAAAAGCCCTTTCAGGCCTCTGGGCTCCAGCCTACATGCGGCCTACCCCTCCCCTCCCTCTCCAACACCACCAGCAAATCATGCCAGTAACACCATCTTCCACACCATCCCCCGTTTACTCTCTGCATGGCTGAACCGTGCTCTTAAACTCACACCCCTGCTAATTCTTGGGATGAATGTAGTAGCGGGGGATTCTCTACCAAGTGCTTCTAAAGGCTCTTAAAGAGTTTTGCCTCAAGCAGCCCTGCACCCCATCCCACCCCCAATTTTTTTATTCACCTTGTCGCCTTAGACAAGTCACTTGGGTCTGGGACCCCAACACTGAATCAGAGCCAGCCAGCTGGAGAATCAGTTTCCTGAGCCCTTTGAGCATGGAGAAACAGAGGTAGCAGTAGATGGAATTATGGTAGCAAAAACCAAAACACCTATCCCTTCCAAGAATCTTGATTCTGTATCTGCCTTCAGTGCCCTGGACGTGCTAAAGTCACTGTCCATGCCACCTCCACTCCCATCTGAGCGTCACCTGTGGGGTGGGTCTCTTGGGCACCATCCTACCCTGCTAAAACAAGATGCTTTCTGTGCATGTGTGTTTTCCACTTCATTCACCCCAGGCCATCAAACAAAAGCCCACTGTCCCCCGCAGCGAGAGTGAGTGCTTTCAAATAGGAGGAAAGAGACGCATATTTTCATGAATCAGGGAAGCCCTAGGGAGCACATGTCCTCTAAGGTTTTTCTGATCTCTCTCGGGGTGCATGTGGCATGCATCGGCACATCTGCCATGCAGCTGGCAGTCACAGATGCCTGGGCTCGTCGTCGTTCAGGTCACAGCTTGACTGTTCTGTTTATTTCTCTGTGCATCAGACTTCATCACACGAGGACTGATGAGGTTAGGCCATTAAGTGTACGGTGACACAGCTTGCTTCCTTGTGTGCGGTCTGCATGTTCTCAGTCTGCGAGGGCACAGCACACTTTCAGGTGTTGACATGATGTGCACTCTGAAGTGTCAGACAAACGCAAGAGGGAACACACATGCATTAGACTTACACACTGGTCCACCCATCGAACCTCTCGAAGAGATGGTTAAAAACCCCGGGCAAGTATGTCCTTGAAATGGTCTTATTTGTGTAGAAATCCACTAGGTACCCTCATACCAGTGAAATCCGGCAGCCCGAGAAGATTCTATTGCTTGTTTTCATGAAATGCGGCCTTTTGTTAATAAACACATGATCTTTCTCAAATTCTTCTCTGGCCAAGCCCATCCTCCATCAGTGTCCATTTCCTTTTCAGTGGGTACCATCCAGTCCCAGCTCCCTTGTATCTGCAAACCCCACGCATGGAATCAAGCTTACATACCTGATCGACAACTGCATTCCCACTGTAGGCTCCCCGTGTTCCTTGGTCTTAGGTTCGGAAGGAGGAGATGAAGGGAGGTGGCCTCTGTCCAGGAGGTTACTTTTCTACATCATATGGAATGAGGCCTCCTGTGTAATTTGTCTCATCACCATCTTAGCTGTATCATTAAGGCAGCATGCCATAGGGGCGAAATGAACTGTTTGAGGATATTATCTAGTGGTAGCCTGAATTGAGAACCACTAAGGGGGTGGAGGTGACATTTTTTTTACTCTGTGATTTGTGTCCCTGTCTCAATTTCCAATTTAGAGATCCACTGAGAATCATTTCTAATTCTTGAACCTGGGTTTTTTTTCCAAAAGAGCTGGTTTCATGCATGAAATGAGTCACAAAGGTCAAACATGGTTCTCTGAATTAGCAAAGGGGTATCCCGTGGTAAGTAACTTTCTCCCAACCACCTAAATACATCACACAGTCTTCCAAACAGAAGACAAAGCTGACTCACGCTGACTGCCCTGCCCACGATGTCTGTCCCGGGTTCTCCTTTCTCCCTCATCTTCTCCTCCATCATTCTGTCTCCCCCGGGATAGGAATCTGTCGGAGAGGTTACTGGGGAAGAAACTCAGCAAATTTTTTGATACCAAGCAAAAGTCCTGACTGGGACTTATCAGGTTGAAAAGAGTGCTTCCTTCCTGCCGTGGCTAAATTCAATGCTCATTGTTTTGTGTGGGGTTTTTTTCTCTTTAATTCTAATGTTCAAATCACTGCGTGCTGTATGAGTCTAGAAAGCCTTAATTTACTACCACCAAGAAATAAAGCAATATGTTGGTAATTTGGCTAAGCCTCGTTTACTACCCTGGCCAGAGAAGCCTGGTGTTCAGATGTGAACATGCAAGACTTGTCTTATTTGAAGCAGAGTCGATGGTAAGTTAAGTCTTGACAGCTGTTAAAAGTTGCACTCAGGATTTTGCCATTTCCTTTGACTTTGGCTTTCAATGATCAGGTAAGTGAAAAACCCATTACCTTTCTAGTTTAGTTCAAGTTCTTCAATTGCGAACCCAAACCCCTAGAACCAGATTTCTCTTGAAATTCAAAAAAAAATCTTCAATTTAGGAAGTTATGTCTGGTGTGGTCTGTAAAATCCCTAGCAGAGTTTAGGGTTGCACTCTTAAACATGTTAAGAGTTCTGCAACAATAGATGTGATTTTTCACACAAATGTATAGGAAAAGTAGTTACTGAGGGACTGGGAGGTAGTACAGGTTAAGGTGCATGCCTGACCTCCACCTGACATTAACTTAACTCCTGGATCTACACCCAACGCTCAGGCACAACCTTGTATGCTTCCGAGCACCATGGAGTGACATCATGGAGCCCCCCGGTACTGCTGAGGTAGTCTAGGCATCCCAGACTACCGAGAGTATCTTGCCCACATAGATGCCTGACTGGGAACACCTATAAAGGTGATTAGAGGCTGCCCCAAAAGCCTCCATCCCTCTTGGAGAGCCTGGGAAGCTACCAAGAGTATCCCGCCCACATGACAAAGCCTGGCATGCTACCCATGGCATACTCGATATGCCAAAAACAGTAACAATGATGGTTCTCATTCCCCCGACCCTGAAAGAGCTCCCAATATGCCATCAGGCTGCACTGGCACGTAACAGGGACAGATGGAGATGTTAGTGGCGCCCACTTGAGCAAATCGATGAACAACGGGGTGATAGTGATAGTGATTATAGACTATGAAAAGCCTTGCTTCCATGTTGATCTGGTATTCCCGCTAAATTAATTTGTGCCAAACTTAAATGAAAAGTGGGATTTGTTTTCCTGCCAGTTTTCTGGATTTCAAAATTATGGATAAGTGACTGTGAATCTGCAGATGTTTTGCCTGGCACTCGTCACAGACATTGGAGAAGTCTTCAAAATTAGGCAGACCATTAGTTGTTATAATTTTTTATCTTAAATCATTAAAATCTGGCAGAAAAATATGGCGTCTCGAGCAGAAAGGAAAAATGATCAAGTCAGTTGAAAAAGAGAAATGCCAAATCTATTCATCCAAACGTTAAGATCTGAGAAGTTGATATGGCATAAAGAAGGTACTGACATGCAAACTTCATTTAGCAACTTAAGAAGGTTTTCAGAGATGCCAGTTTTAAATGAATGTGTCCTCAACCTTTGTCTAGCTCTATGTTAGCTGCTTAAAGATGCTTATATAAACCAAATAGGACTACTGACTGCCTTGGGATTTTCCTTTAAGATAACTCATGCTACTTTTGTGAAAACCCCCACAAAAGGGTAAGTGATATAATGTAAATTGCTTATAAGGCTTAAGAGTTCTTAGAGTGAAAATTGTTTGAAATTAGAAAGTCTTCAAGAAGTTTTATAACAAAAAATATTCATCCTGAAGTTTAAAAGATTATGCCTTTATAAATATCTTTTATATGGCATTTTACATTGGCATATAAAATTTTTATATAAAATTACTTACCATGTCTAAACCTTAGTCACTAAAAAAGGTGATTTGTTCAGTAACATCCATCCTATCATGATTATTCAAAAGAAGTTATTCTGAAGAATTTCTGAGAAAATAAGTTAAAAAAAATTTAGGGACAAGGCAAGTATTGAAGTAAATCTGTGAAGCAGAATTGGCCTACCTGTGTAATTTCTTGGTTTAATGGTTTCTTCTTTTTGATGCAAATACTGAAAATAGGCCTAAAAATTACCAGGAAAGAGATGTGAGAGGGAGAGGAGGCTGGACGGATGTTATGGAGGATGTCTCTCATCTGTCTGCAGTGGATGTTGACACCTGAAATTGTCACACAGGTGAGATTCACTAATATGATCACCAGAGACCGCAGCTGTTGACTTGAGGGAAGAGAGAGCATCATAGACATACAGATTGGGGACACACTTCTCAGACTATACCTAAGTTCTGCTCATTTTTCTTTTCTCTTTGAAGGCATCATTGTCTCATAAGTTTGTTGCATAACAAGACTTGATGCCCCCAGTCTGGTTATGCAAAAAAGTTATGATACATTTATGGAATAAATGTCCAAAGTAGCATAACTGGAATTCATTCGGGTGAATGTTGAATACAGTTAATAAAGTAATCCTCTCTAGGTTAACATGTCATGATATTTGCTGTATTAACAATAGGTTCACTTTGTCCCCATTAACTTGAGTTAATTATATGCAAATAACTAGTTCAAGAAGCTTGTTCACATATTATTCCATAGATTAATCCTTAGGCATGCTCGTACATATGCCTGCACACATACACACACACATGCCACA